GCCCAGCCTTCTCCCCCCAAAATCCACCTGAAGCCCAGACTTCTCCCCCCAAAATCCACCTCAAGCCCGGACTTCTCCCCCAAAAATCCACCTCAAGCCCGGACTTCTCCCCAAAAATCCACCTGTAGCCCAGACTTCTCCCCAAAAATCCACCTGTCCCCCAAAAATCCACCTGAAGCCCGGAATTCTCCCCTGCAAATATCCACCTCAAGCCCAGACTTCTCCCCCAAAAATCCACCTCAAGCCCGGAATTCTCCCCCAAAAATCCACCTGTCCCCCAAAAATCCACCTGAAGCCCGGACTTCTCCCCCAAAAATCCACCTGAAGCCCAGACTTCTCCCCAAAAATCCACCTGTCCCCCCAAAATCCACCTGTAGCCCAGAATTCTCCCCCAAAAATCCACCCGAAGCCCGGTATTCTCTCCAAAAATCCACCTGAAGCCCAGACTTCTCCCCAAAAATCCACCTGAAGCCCAGACTTCTCCCCAAAAATCCACCTGAGGGCAGATCCCCCATGGAGATCACCCTGCCCGGGTTGGACCGGTGAGAGCCCGGGACAAGCCAGGGGGGGGCCGGGGGTGTCACAGCCGGTACCGGTACCGTCAGCTCCTCCTCCCAGCACCAAGAAAAAGGAGGGATCTTCTCAAGGTGGAAGGAAATTTAAATAGAGAAAAAGGAGGGATCTTCTCAAGGTGGAAAGAAATTTAAACGGAGAAAGAAAAAGGAGGGATCTTCTCAAGGTGGAAGGAAATTTAAATAGAGAAAGATAAAGGAGGGATCTTCCAATAGTGGAAGGAAATTTAAATAGAGAAAAAGGAGGGATGAAAAAGGTGGGAGAAAATTTAAAGAGGGGGGGTTGGAAGGAGCCAGCAAACGTCACCGGGACCCCAAAAACCCAGCGAGGGGGTGGCCAAGCCTTTGGGGGTGCTGCCAGCTCCCCATCCCCCTTGTGTTGAGGAGAACCCCCCCTTAGGATGGTGGGGAGCCCCCCCGGGCATCACCACACACAGGAAGCCTGGAATTCTCCCCCAAAAATCCACCCGAAGCCCGGACTTCTCCCCCCAAAATCCACCTGAAGCCCGGAATTCTCCCCCAAAAATCGACCTGTCCCCCCAAAAGCCACCCGAAGCCCAGACTTCTCCCCCAAAAGCCACCCGAAGCCCGGAATTCTCCCCAAAAA